ATATCCTTGCTAATTAAGTGTATTGGCTAGAACTATTATTATTAGAAGGATTATTTTGAAAAAAAAATGCATAAATATGAGAGACAAAATGGATTGGGGTCTTATAATTAGAACCAAACAAAAAGTCAAACAAGGTCTTATAATAAGGACCGGAGGTAGTAGATTGATTCCTGCGTTGCAAAGAGGTTAAGAAATAAACCATATCATTCATTATGTATATATAGAAGAATATGTCATAATTTTTATGTCATGTATACATAATCACAAAAGAACAACGGGAGCATCATCAATAATCAATACCTGGTTTTCTTTTCCATTCGTGGCATGGTGGCCCCGTGAGACAATTGCAGGTGGCCCGTTCTTTGACTTTAGGCTTTTGGCATTGTCTTGTAGTTCTTTAAGGGTGATGTGGTAATTTCCTGAAATTAATGCCTCCATTGCTATGTCTTGAAAGTGGTTTGAAAAAAAAAAAGAAAAGAAACAAACACGTATGATGAGAAAAATGGAAAATAAACTTTTAGGTTCATTCATTTCTTTTTAATATAAGGTAAAATTGCACTTTTTATTTTTTAACCTTGTACAATGTTTCATTATTTATAAAATATTGTTTGTCTTTTATCCTTAATACCATTAATTTCATTAATAAAGAAAGTTGATGTTGAAATTTAAGATATTGACAAAATACCGCCCAATGTTCACATATTATATTTAAGTGGAGTTTTCAAAAATTAAATAACATTGATTTTCACAAAAAAAAAAGGTTATTTGAGACTAACTGTAATAGGCTAGAAGATTAAAAAGATACTATATCAAATTAAGAGACCAAGATAAAGCATTATATAATTTCTTTTTGTTACAAAGGCAAGCAAAAATTTGAAGAAAAAACATGTTAAGAAATAATCCTAGCCAAAACAAAGGCAACTATCAAATATTTTGTTAATCTTCCAAGAATTTATAAACATCCATTCGATACAGTTAATACCAACACCATATTAGAGAAGTCAATATGGCCTTCTCTAACCAAGTAGTCAGCATATCGAATAATATTCCTAATAGTATGGTGCAGGCTCGCATTTTTGATATTCATATAAACATAAACAAATATCTTATCTTTATGATTTTGAGTCTCACCAATGATATCAAAATTAGAAAAGAATTGTTTCACAAGATAATTAATTGATTTTTTTGGCATCAAGTTAATTAATCAATTAAACATATGTTCTTAATGTTATATATTCTTAATTCAAGTGAAGAGTATTCTTAATTCGAGTCAAGAGTCCTGATAGCTTGAGTTATTCGCTTACCTGGTAGTATTTGGAGTTTATGTGCAAAGATTATCTATCTCGTCTTCTAATTCAAATCAAGTCTCTTCTCAACCCAAACCAATAAAAACTACTTGACAATTTGACCTTCCCAACCTCAAGTTACTCTATGCTTAATCCAAGTTGGACTCTTTGTTGAGTTTGTAACCTTAATTTAAGAATAACCAACCCCAAATCAAAACTTCGACAAATGTCTCAACTTGAAATCAGATTTAGTTCCCAAAACTAGTTTGAGGAAGTAGAACAACTTTCTTTCTTTTTTTCTTTTTTGGTTTTAAATTGGAGACAAATTTTATGTCAAATTACTTATATCCATTAGGTCAAGTTCTCTAATCACACTTGTTATTTTGCTCTTGTTTGTTGTTAAAATATGTATTTGCACTTGTAAATTTACCTATAAATACTTCTATGTTTATATATATAATCACCTCTTATAATATAATTTAGGATACATAATTTTTCACATGAATGCTTGCGTGTCGTAATATGGCTTGACAGGCACTTGTTGTAAACTTGTTGGCTGTTGTTCTAGCCTACAGGTGCCTTATAATAATACTTGTATGTTGTGGTAGTTTTATGCACCTATGTCAAACTTTACGGCGATAGTGAATTAAAAATGTCAACTGCTACATGAGAACGAAACGGAGGTTGGTGGATAGGCTGTATCAAAATAAATTGGTTGTTCACTTTCCTTGGCTCTCTGACTTGGTGTTTATATTAATGATATTTTCTCTCTAATTTTTCCTTATTTTTCATTTCAGTCTTTGATTTTAAATTTTGATTAAATGGGCCTCCGCAGACGGGTCTCAAGCCCATAATTCAAGAGTTTTTTTTGGGCCAACAAAATTCAAGAATTGAGTTTCACAAAACAAAAAACAGCTATTTTAGAGAAAACAAGCTTTTCCAATTAGGGAGTATTTGGATGAAAACAAAACCATGATTTTAAAAGTACTTTTACAGTTTATAAAGTAAATATGTGGAGGAATTTGTCTTATTTTACAGAAAAATACTTTTTAAAAGTACTTTTAAGAGTTGTCAAACACCCTCTTAGATCCAAACCTGTGAAGATTCGGTATGTTTTCTCAGCGCTAAAATTACCATGGCCAACTTTCTAAAGAAGGCTACAACTATTGTGGAAAATTCAGGAGTTATATATAATCATACATGTTTGGTTTTAGCATAAAGCCGAAAGCAAAGACTGAACTGTGTGAAAGCAAGCATTAATAAAGTAAAAAGAAAAACTTAAAAACTACTACCTCTAATTTTTAATATAAGATCTCGTCTGATTTTTATTTGAGTCCTAAATATAAGATCCTAATAAATTTTATCTCTCATATTTATTTATTTATTTTCATGATAATCTTTCTAATAATAGTAGTTCTAACCAATAAATTTGATTAACAACGATATTTTAGGAAAGACAATACTTATTTATTACAAATAACTAACTTAACTTATTTTTTTAATTTACTCAAATAAATCAATTAGCTTTTATATTTAGGACTGAGCTAATAGAATCACTGACGAAGCTGAGTAGGAGCCGTGGGATTTCAAACCCCATCTTCATTCTTCATGCTAATTTGCAGTTTTACACACGTGTATAATACCGAGGTACCTGCTTCACCTAGTTCTTTTTTCCCCTGAATGTAGAATAACTGGTTCGCTTTGTTTTACAGTTACGCTTGCCTCTCTATTTCCCAAGGCCTGTAAGCTTCAAGCTTCAGGGGATGGCTAGTGATCACTCATCCGTCATCACCTGAAAGAAATGTGGAGGAAGGTGTGTTATACTCCTCCGGTCCTTAATATAGGACTCAATTAGTGAGTTGGTTTTGGTCCTAAATATAAGACTCATTTTTCATATTTATCAATTATCTCTAAATACCTTATGGATACCCTTTTAACCATAATCAAGTAGAAGAGAAAGATGAGGTATTAAGAAATATGATTATAGTATTTTAGGAAAAACATGTTATATTTTTTATAATTAACTAACTTATCTAACTTCCTTAATCTAATCAAATTAGTTAAATAGGTCTTATATTAAGAATCGGAGGAGTATATAAATTAGTCATACCATCATAAAAGCAACACAAGCACACAACAATCTACCCCTTTATAATATGAATGAAAACCCAAGACTCTAAAAAAAGAAAATTAAATATATGGACATTTTAGAGTCGTCTCGTGTTTTATCCTTGCTCGATTCTCATTTTATCTTGTCCCGCTCTTATCCCATCTTGAAATATAACGAGTCAGAACCAACCAGTCCCGATATAATTGAGACAAGATAGATTCACTCAGTTTTCAATTATGTACTCTTTAAATTATAATTTCGCAAGCACATAACCTCTTTACGCTTTAAATCTTGTGCCTATGAGCCTTCTAAACCTTATGGATAAGTAATGAACAAAATTTTTATATTCCTCCGGTCCTAATTATAAGAACCAATTGACTTATTTGAGGAGATTAAGGAAGTAAGTTAAATTGGTTATTTATAATGAATAAGTGTTGTCATTCCTAAAATATCTTGCTAATTAAGTATATTGGCTAAAACTATCATTATTAGAAGGATTATCTTGGAAAAAAATGCATAAATATAAGAAAGAAAATGGATTGGGTCTTATAATTAGGACCAAATAAAAAGTCAAATTGGGTCTTATAATAAGAACCGGAGGAGTATATTACTTTCTGTCCTAATTATAAGACCTAATTAACTAATTTAGAGAGATTAAAAAACTTAGTTAAATTAATTATTTGTAATGAATAAGTGTTTTTTCTAAAATATTCTTACTAATCAAATTTGTTATCTAGAACTACCATTATTAAATGATTATTTTGGAAAAAAATAAATAAATATGAGAGGTAAAATCGATTAGAGTCTTATATTTAGAATCAAAATAAAAGTCAAACAACGTCTTAAATTATGAACCGGAGGTAGTATATTTTTTTTGATACAAGGAGGACTTATCTATATAATTAGGAGCATTTGTGGAAATTCGTCGCAGAAAAATTTAATGCAGCTATCTATACGTTATGCAAAGTTTTGGGGAGTTCATTATCATCCATAGATGACAATCTTTGTAAAGTTTTTGTTTTTGTTTTTGTTACATTTCTTTTTAGTGTTTATCCATATGTATCTTTCTCTCTCTATTATCTCATTCAGATTTTTTTCACGTTTACTTTAAATGTTGAATCATTTATATGTGTGTAAACAAAAAGATAATAATCATTATTATAAATTTCATACACTATAATAATCATAATCATTATGTATAAAATCTTAAGACTTTTTCTAATCATTTTTTTATATTTAGTTTACTATTGCTCTATACGTTCGTGTGCTTCTCTCTCCGTGATATTTTCATACTTCATTCAAATTTTATCGTCTGTATTTCAAATTTTGAATCATATATATATGCAGAAATAAAAATTATTATAAATTTCATACAGTAAAATTGACATTGATGTGCGTGAAAAAGTAATTTATTTCTTTTAATTATACGCATGGTACACGTTTATATCCACCTTTGATATTGTGGGGCCCACTTGTTTGATCCAGTCACAGAGAACAGGTTGCTCCATGGCCCCTGCCTCTGCATTCTTTCTAGCTCAGTGTGTGCGAAACGTGAAGTGAGAGAGAGAGAGAGAGAGAGTTTTTCGTGGCTTGGGCCTCCATGGATCTTGAGAGAGAAGCAAGAGAAGAGAATCAAAAAGTGGACTTGATATATAATAATTGAAAAAGTAGCTGGTCATACGTATCCTTCTCTATCATCTCCTGCTTTTTCTCTACTTTTACCATCTAATTTTCCATTCAATTTCGTAGCTTTCCGTATTTTCTTTCTTCTTTTTTCGCTTTTTCTGGTTTTTTCCGTATGAAAAAATAAATCATTGCCCCATTTTCCTCTGATGGTACCGTGATTCGGAGTGTAGTACTCAAATACTCATCAAACTCGTTCTCTCTCTCTATCCCTTTCCCTGACTCAACATCTTCACGCGTCTCTGTACTATATTTCCATGTTCAGATCCTTCCTCCTCACTGATTACAGTTTTCGCATCGAGAAAATCGTGGGCTTTGAGTTCCTTAACCCTGTCTTACTTTTTCTGGGGTTTTAAGGAAGCTCGATTTCCTTTGAATTCTACCTGGCTTATATCATACAAACCGAAACTGGGCGGCTCTGCTTCTTCTTGATTTAGAAATGGTGGTTCGCGAGACCTGCTTCCTGAATTCTCTTTGAATTGGGTTTTAGTTTTTTCATATTGCGAAGGTTGAGGCCTATCTATGCCCTTTTTGTTCTTGGGTTGTGGTTTCTTTTCCACGCCCGTCTGAGGACATTTATTGTTCTGGATCTTCTTTAGATCTGGAATCCAGATTAGGTAATCAGTCTTTTGAGCTGTGCACTGGCGTGACGTTTCGATTTGTTCGGGTAAATTTTCATGTCTTGTAAAGTTATGTTCTGTTTGTTAAACTTTATGCATTAATTGATTGATTGGCAATTTTGGTGCCTCTTTTAGCTTCCTTGGAATATGCTGAACGAATAATTAAATAGCTCATAAACTTGCCCTAGACTGCATAATAATGAAAGTGGATTTAATCTGGTTAAACATTAATACATTATATATTTCGGATCGTCATAGTCATAATTGCGACATTAATTTCCTTCTAGTTCAAACCATCCCCAAGTCATATAAAAAGACTTGGTAGGTATGTAAATGGGAATATATATAGAAGAGGCCTCGAGATAACCTGAGATAGCGAACGCAAGTGTGAAAAATGGCTCTAATGCACGGGAAGCCATTGTGTGCACTATCTTTCACTGCGGTGAAGGTTTTGGCGAAATGTGTTGATTAAGCTTGGGAAGGCGTGGAAAGAGACGATCTGAGTGCTACAGAGAGATCAAGTAGGGGCAAACAGTCGCTCCGTAAAGCACTTGTCCTGAATTTTTTTTAGTTTCAAGGATTTTTTGTCCACTGGCCCGATAGAGGGACGTCTGGAGAAGATATGCAGTTACTGTTGATGCCAGAATAGTGCACAAGTATGAAAAGGTGATGGCTTTTGATGAAACAGACGACATGCCTAAAAATTAACCAGATTCAAGTTGAAATAAGACTTGACTAGAATTTTGTTGGTAGGATGCAGTATATTTCACAGCTAGAGAAAGAGGTAGTAACTACGTCTGGCGACCGTAAGACCTTTTGGTAACTAAAGAATGGATGTAAACATGTAATAGTCAGACCAAACTGAAAATTGAAGTAAAGACTATTCAGAATGATAGCACTCGGGGAAGGCTTGCACTTGGGAATGGGGAAGGCTTGCCCTTGGGAAGTGTACTAACACTCTTTTAGTGGCAACCCGCAGCTCTTATATATATTTTTATACTGTACTAGTTAAATCTGAATACGAAAGATGATCCTTAAAGCGTTTAACAACACCTAAAGAAAGACCCCAACGAGGGATGACTGCAAGCTTTTAAAAGTGGAACAGAAAGGAAGTCTTGCATCTTATGTTCAATTAATGCTCTAGAAGTTTTTCATGTATTGTTCATGTGCTTCATGTTTGCGATATCTTTTATTAATGTATGTGGTTTATTATAGTCCTCATATTGCATGTGGTCTGAATTTCCTCCTTGTTTTATGCTTTCTGATTCTGATTATGGTGATTTTTCAATCCTTCTCCTGTGTCTCAGAAATCTGAATCAAATAAGAACCGTGAGTAACATGATTAGTGGAGGTGATGCTCCAAAAATGCCCAAAGGTCGGCGGTCCATGTTTGCAGTTGAAGAAGCAAGTTGCAAAGGTGAGGTTGGAGGAGACATACCTCTGAAGAAAGGCCCTTGGACAGCAGCAGAGGATGCAATTTTAATAGATTATGTCAAAAAACATGGAGAAGGAAATTGGAATGCAGTCCAAAAGCACTCAGGCCTTGCCCGCTGTGGAAAAAGCTGCCGTTTACGATGGGCAAATCACTTGAGGCCAGAATTAAAAAAGGGTGCATTTACTGAAGAGGAGGAGCGTCGAATCATTGAGCTCCATGCTAGGATGGGAAACAAATGGGCTCGAATGGCAACAGAGGTCGGTTCCATATGACTTATTTAATTTTTTTATCAACATGTATTATGCTCATGTTAAGCTTCAATCATGTTGTGAAGCTTGATTGTGTAGTAGTTCGCATTTGATGTCCTTACTTTATTCCATGGAAAAAAAATGGTGACTATTAACTCTAAAGATGAATTGATGTGGAGAATGTCATTTCAATATGTTATATATATATATATATTTTAAAGTGTTCCATTTTATCCACCCTGTACTATACATTAATTGCTATATTCAGTATAGTAATTGTTAATTTCTTTGTATTCTAGATGGCATGGTAATATAGCGATTAGGTATAGAAGGCATGACATGGGATTTTGTTGTAGGAGCTAAGACTGATCAAGGGGATGATACTTGTTTCAGTCTACCTCCATATTGAGCTTTCTGGTTATTATCAACTTTTTGAGAGTTGATAAGCACTTGACTAACAGGTTGCATAGAGTTAACAAGAAGGGAAAAGGCAAGTAACTATTTGTTGAGAGTATTGGGAGGGCAAAAGTTGGGTAGAAATGGAACAGATAAAACAAAATGTACTATTAGGAAAGTCAACATGGTGTGCCTTTCTGAAACTGAATCCTTAACCTTGATTTATGATGATAGTCTGACACACACAAAACCTTGGTGTATTGTGGTGATTTAAGGGCATTTAGGTTTCTAAACGAGAATCGTGGTGATGTTTTGCATAATAGCTAGTTTGCTTGGTCTGTGTTAAGAGGCTGTATGGTTTCTTCATGGTTTGGTAGTATTCATTCGCTTGTATTTAGGGAATTTCCAAAGTCCCTGCAAGAGATCTTGCTATGATCTGTTTAAATCATTCCTTCCTGTTGATTGCAAATTTATAGTTTGTTTCTTGGACTCTACCTTAGTCAATATTGTTTACGGTTGTAGTTCGCAATATATTACAACATTCAGCCCATGTTTGATGCCTGTCTAATTATGTGGAATTTAAATAAGATCATGCAAAAGATTTTGTTGCCCATAAATTGTAGAATTGTATGAGTATTTTGATATTTTGCAAGGAAGGTAATCTTCTGTTTGAGGAAATAAACCGTTTTTTGAATGGAGAAAACAATTAAGCTGCATGCTCTTTCTGGATTGTCACCGCCTGAACTACCAAATAAAGAATTTTGGAATCTTCAAATTTGAATTTATTGTTGAGAAGTAAGAAACATGCAGAAACTTTTTCCTTTGATTTTCTAGTTTTTTAAAAAATTATAATTCTAATGTCCTACCTAATCTATCTTTTGTTTCTTGAGTTTCTCAAAAAATTGGAAAGTTCTGTTTTGACTCAGGAGACGACAGTTTCTTTAATTTCTTCCCATTTGCAGTGCAAAATGATGGAGACTATTTTAAACTGATTTGTTCAACCATTATCTTGTACCACTGATCCATCCATGGCTGAGAAGCAGGGTGTTATGACCTAACATAGAAACTTCTAAACATTTAATACTACCTCCGGTCCTTAATATAAGACTTTGTTTGACTTTTATTTTGGTCCTAAATATAAAACCCTAATCTACTTTGTCTCTCATATTTATGTATTTTTTTTTTCAAGATAGTCTTTCTAACAATGGTAGTTCTAACCAATACACTTGATTAGCAAGGATATTTTAGGAAAGACAACACATATTTATTGCAAATAACTAACTTAACTTATTTTTTTAATCTCCTTAAATTAGTCAACTAGCTCTTATACTTAGGACTGGAGGTAATATATTAAGACAGATTACAAATGAAAAGAAAAGCCAGAGATGAAACTCATTACATTCAGGGACCCAAAACACTACTCTCCTACGCAACAAGACACACAAATGGGAAATGAACAATAGGGATATGTTTACAGCAGATGAAAATAAGAGCTAAAACACAGTAAGATAACACCATTCTGATACAGACAGAGACACGCAAGATACAACTTCATCACAACAATGGATACACGATACAACTCACACGACAGACTCACTGAAACAGAACAGGGCTGCCAAACTTTCGAGAGGTTGGCACTCTCCACCCCAAGGGCCAGACCACACTGCAAAATTCTCCACATACCCTCCCTTGGCCAGAGTGAGGATTTAAAGACCTCAAAAGTAACTCTCACAGCCTGCTGCTCATGGACTTTGACCAAGCATTCCTGTAGCTGACCTACTTTTCTATTTCTTTCTCCAAATTAGAAAGTCAAATTTCTATCCAAAAAGCATCTTTTCCCTGTTATTGTATCTTCCTAAGTTTTCCTTTATTTTTTTGTCTGATCAGAACAAGTGGTCACGACAAAGGGTTTGCTTGTTTATGTCTCTGGTGTTTTGTTACTAGCATATGCATGTATATATTTAATTTTTTTCTTTTTAAGGCGAGGAGCAGGCATAGAATACCAGGGATTTGAGGTCTGCAAATGGAAGCATAATGAGCTTCTGCCTCTTTGAGGTTGTTGCACCTGATGTTTCAGCATTTTAAATAAAAAAAGGAAGAAAAATGTTTTTGGAGTGTTCTTGTACATTTCTCTGAGTATCATTGACCATTATAGAAAATAAACATTACTATATATATAAGATCAAATTAACATTTATAAACGAGATATCAAGACAAGCATTTTGGTTGTTGTGCCGTGTAAACATCAAATACATTATTTTTGGACAAATATTAAATATATTAATAAACTATGTAAAGAAAAGCACTCAGTATCTGATAAGAAAGTTAACATAGGTCTTGACATTCTTGATAGAAAGTAAAAGTGAAAAATAAAGATAGACAATGAAAATGAGAAAACGTTTACCGTGCTCATTCCTATTATGGCATTAGAAACACTTCCCCTACCCAAGAAAGTGGAAAAAAGCATGTTGCCAACCCAGAATCTAGAGATCTTTTGTTAAACAAGGCAAATATTATGTGACGATTGCTTGTTCATACAGAGTAAGAGGGGGGAATACAGAAAAGAGATAATGGAATGATAGGGCAGAAAATTAACCGCAGCAAGAACCATATATTGACTAGCATGCCTTATTCAGTATAATTAACATCATTTTGTGTGTTGTCTGTGTTATTGAACAAAATGTAATCTTGTTTCATTTTTGGTTATTTCCTCTTCTCTTCATTCCTTCTTTTTCTGTTTCAGTTGCCTGGACGTACAGATAATGAGATAAAGAATTACTGGAACACTAGAATTAAGAGACTGCAACGAGCTGGATTGCCAATTTATCCTCCTGACATATGCCAGCGGGTACGCAGTCAAGAAAATCCAAATATGAGTACTTTGATGAGTGGAGCCAGCCAACACTCTGATATCCCGCAAGGAGGCAACTTCAAAGTCCCAGAACTGGATTTCAAACAATATGATTTCAGTCGGAGTTATCTCCCATATGGTCCATCTATTTTAGATATTCCTGACAGCAGTCTGTTTGAGCAAACTGTAGGCCCACCACATAGTGATGTTATGTTGTTCGGAAACCCTCCGAAACGCCTTAGGGAGTCAGATATGCTTTATAATAGATTGGACAATAGTAGCAGCTGTATGATCCCAGTGTTTGATAAGTTTGTGGATTATACTGCTGAGCCACCTCCTGTTTTGCCGTCTCCAGGCAATCTGTCCCTTGACACCAATGATCCGTTTCATGGTGATAATCTTCATGGCAGCCATGCCGCTTTAAATGGCACTATCTCTTCTTCAGCGCCCATATCTGAGGCAATGAAGTTGGAGCTCCCTTCACTCCAATATTTAGAAACTCAACAAGGTAGCTGGGATGCAAATGCATCCCCACTTCCTTCACTTGAGTCCGTTGATACAATGTTTCAGTCTTCTCCTGTTGAACAGTACCAGTCATGTACTGTTACTCCAGATAGTAGTGGTTTGTTAGAATCAATAATCTACGACACCAAGCTTCCCAAGGGCCCATACAATGATTCATTGTGGAAGACTCCTGATGACTGCATACTGAATATGGCTAAAACTGAGACAGAATGGGACCACCATGGGGATACAAATTCACCCTTAGGTCACTCTTCTGCCTCAGTTCTTACAGATTATACTCCTCCTGTTAGCTTCTGCTCAGTTGATGAACCCAACTTCATTGAACATGCAAAAGGTGAGTGTGCCATTTGTTTTATTTAATTGTTTAGCATGGACTCTATTTTTATTTTGATATATTTTTTTGGCATGCTATTTTCATTTTCAGCAGGTCTTGAAATGAAGCAGGAAGTCATTTCACAGGGTCCACCTAACGTTTCTCAAAGGAAAGAAACTTCTAGTCAGATAGACATAACAAGGCCAGATGCTTTGCTTGACATGTGTTGGTTCGGCAATGACACCAGTTACCGCTAAGAAAGTTGGCAATCTTGATTTGTGCTTAGGTCTTTATAATTTGGTCTTTGTTAATGAGGTGCCTTCACTTGTTTGTACATTTGCTATCAGCGGTTAGACTAGTCTTAAGAAATTCTGTTACCTTCAGAGGCTACAGTTATGACAGACCAGAGCCGTTAACATCAGATAATCTCAGTTCAATAACGGTTTGAAGATGCTGCTGCGGATATGTTGGGACAATGGGATTTGAGAATTTCTTATATCAGATAACCTGACCTCATCAAATGTTTGAAGATGCTGCAGGTGATGTTTCAAGAGTGGATTTTGGCAAAATTTTTGTATCAGATAACCTGACTTCATCAACTTGATTTGAACATGATGCTGCTGATGCTGGAAGAATGGGATTTGTATATGTTCTAGGTGCATCTGAAATGTTCATGATATTTGATCTCAAAATTGGACTCAGTTGTTCAGCCTTCATTGAAGATTGTGTACTTTCTTTTTCTTTTTCTTTTTAAACTTCTTTTTAAATCATTTCTGTATTCATGTTGTGTTGGACATGTCAATTGAAAATGTTAAAATTTCATGCTCCAATTTTAATGGATGATTCAACTTTTCCAGTTTGTTTCGACGTCAGTGTTTGATTCGCTACTATGGAGAAGTGGCGAGTTGATTTGTTTTGCTGGGTTACAAGTACAAGGGGACTCATGTTAATTATTTGTATATAGCTTATCAACAAGGGGAAATTAATGATCAAAATGACAAGTTATTTACAGATAAAAATCTTAAATCTCTAAAATTTTTCCAACGTCCTCCTTTCAAAGTAAGATGTACGATGACTGAAATTCTTATGAATTCCCGATCAGCACGTTGCACAGGATAAGGCCTGATAATGCTTGATAAGATAAGGGATAATGGGATGAGACCTTATCTAGTATTTATTATGAAAGTTAGCTTGATTTTTAGTTTAGTTCTAAATATAAGACTTTAATTTATTTTATTTTTTATATTTATTTATTTTTTAAAGTAATTCTTATAATAGTTTTACATATTAAAAGATTTCATCAAATAACAATTCTATTTAATACATATTGGTAGTAAGGGTATTTTAGAAAAGATAATACCTATTTATTACAAATAATTAACCTAACAAATTTTTTTATTAAAATTAGTCAACTAACTCTTAAATTAAAAACTTTATGCTTGGTAATATATAAGTGTATAGGACAGAAAGATTTTAACAAAACTACCCTTTACTTAAATTAAAGTAAACATATTAGAACTTTTAACTGTGTTCATTTTCAGAGGGTGGAAAAAAACTTCATTAACTGTTATAATAATGGTAATGGCCCGTGATATCAGTAGCCAGTGATGATAGGGGCCAGTGATGTGATAGTTGTAGATAGTGGTGACCAATGAAATATGGAAGAGGTGGTAACCACGAAGCCGGTTTGCAATGCCAATGGTTGTGGTGACCATATGGAGATCGACGACGACGACGAAGGCCAGTGATGGCATCGGCGGCGGCGGCGGCTAGTGATGGAAGTGATAATATATAGCCAATAATAGTGGTGATAACTGATTAGAGACGGCGGTGATGATGACGGAGATATGGCGTAGGTGACTAGTGAAGGTCAGTGGCAATGATAGTGACAGTGGTAAATAATATAATAAACGTATTACACAACAAAATTTTATAACTTTTATATGAATTTCATGAGCTGTATTGAATTATCCAGCATTTTAATGAGTTAAAAATTTTATGATTTATGAGCTTATACAATTTATTACATGCACCAAACAAACAAGTGATAAGCCCATGATAAATGGTAGTCCCTCTCTTGCTTCTTATAAGAGATCATTAATTAATGGTTAAAATTAGTTGAAAATAATAAATATGTGTAAACAAATGTAATACTTTTGCCAAAAACATTCTCATTTATGTGAAAGAGATAGAATGTGTGGTGGAAAAAAAAATACGTAAAGATTAGTAAATACAATTATATGAGCCATTAAATAAGGTTAAAATAGAAAATCAACAAACAAAATTTAAAACATAAAAAAAAAAAACATGTCATACTTTACAACCGTCTTTTATAAAAAGCAATGGAGGGAGTATTAACTTGTACCGTCATGCCTTGTATGTCATGTCAAATGGAGGAACATAATTTAAGTCATTAATAATGGCACATAGGAATTTCAACATTAAGATCAAGGAAATTTGGTAAACACATATAAAAAAAATTTAATACTCTAAGAATTTCCTATGGCTGAATATTAGATTTTCTATCTTAGCCCCCCCCAAAAAAAAAAGAACTAAATTTCCTATTTATGATTACTAAATTCCCTTTATATAACAATTAATAAAGACATATTATATGTGTCATAGGCATTTTGGTCATTATATATATTTTGATTGTCAAAGAAAGACTTCCATCCTACAAAACAATTTTAGAAATGTAAGATTGTTATATATAAGAAACTTGTTATTTTAGTCTTTAAGCATTATTTTCCCTATAAACAAAGCGGTTCTATATATTTTTTTTCAAAAGACACACAAATTACATTTTATATTTTATATTCTGAACACGATAAATGAAAATAAAAGAATTAAGTGGTGACAATTAAAATTTAGAGCAAGAAGCCAAGAATCTAATCTTGAATTTCTGAAACTATTTTGCATAACCAAACGGAGCACATGATTGTTATGTGTGATACGTAGAATATTGGTTTTTTTTTTTTTAATATCTAACACATTAAGGTTAAGAACTTAATGATGCATGTCAGTGGGACAAAATATTTTTTGATAAGTGCTTGAGGTTATCCAACTGTTTTTCTCCTAATATAGTTATGTTAAAAAATATATATACCGTTAAGTTTATTTTATATTTAAAACTTTTATTTGGGGAGCAAACATAGTTAGAATCTTGGAGAGAATTGTTATCTGCTGATGAAAAATAGTTATGTTAAAAAAAAAATTAGTTTCACTTCATTTATGGTAAAAGGATATCCTTGTAGATTTTACCATTATTATTTTAATTATTTTACTGTTATATAAATTTCAAACCATGTATGTATATTGTTTCTAAATTGTAAAATTTGTTTCTAGAAAGTTTTTACAACAAAAGTAAAAAATGAACGTTATATTTTGCAAAAATTATGTATTTGTTTGTGTGCTGTTTAAAAGTTGATTTTTTTCAAATAACATGTTGTATCTTATCTTGCACGGCTTTTCTTCTAATGAACAAAAGTACTCTATAACTATAAGTAGTGTTTTTTTTTTATTTATTTATTGGTATAAGAGTCCTATATTTAATTTAATGTGACAACTTTCTTTTTTGACATAACAAGCACAAGATTTTAATTAGATAATGAGCTGAAAGTAAAAAGGTGACTAGCCTCTTTTAGGATATGAATAAGCCAATATATATGATTGGGTTAAGGTGTAAATTTAACTTAGAAGTTTTTATTCAAGAATTTTGGGTATTCGAAAGTTTTTCTGAGAACAAATTTGTCTTAAAAATTTTAAATCATAGCAGTATTGTTCCGTGCCATTAAAAAACTAACATTGGCTGTTAAAATAGTAACATTATATTGACCGTTATCATTTTCAATAGCAGAGGATAATGTTATTATGATTTTAAACTTTCAAGACAAATTTGCTTCTAAACAAAATTTTTAGATACCCCACATTCCTAAGTAAAACTTTTGGGTATAGTATTAATATCAGTATCAATATCTGTATCTTCAGTATTAATTAATATAAACTATAAAGCATTGTTTTGGGAGGGCGTGTGGAAGAATTTCAAGTTTTAAAACAGGCACATTAAAAGGGTTAGTTCATTATAATTTATTAATTTTTCATATATGTTTTTAAAACCTTTTTGAGCTGCAAAATAAGATCAGATATCAACATATTTAAATTAGGTAGACATTATACTTCACTATGGGTAATCTAATAAATCTATCTCATAATGCAGTTGATCTCAAATAAGATTTATACAATTTGGTCAAACAAAAATAAAATTTATAAATTTTAATCAATATCGTATCAGTATCTGTATTGACAGTAGTAGTATTATGATTATAAGCATTACTATAAACTATGAAGTTTTTTTTTCCGGAGGGTGTGTGAATGAATTTTGAGCCCTGAAGGAAGGATACTAAAAGGGTTAGTACACTGTAATTTATTAATTTTTCATATATTTTTGTAGTTTTTTGAGCTGTAAAATAAAATATCAAATATTTAGAATAAAATATCCCAACATTCCTTACATTTTGTCTTAATTAAACAAGCCTCCTTTCTATTTCAAAAATATATATATTTAATTTAAGTCCAACCATTAACTTGCATCAAGAATATTTTGAAAAAATATTTAAATAAACTTTATTTATTAATTGAGCCTTTATCATACTAAAATCTCTAATTTTGGCTAAAATTATTCTGAAGAATTTAATAGTTTTCTTTTTCTTTTCTTTAATTTTATTTTTTTAATCTTGCAAATGATTATTATTTTCATTTTTTATTTCTGGCATAGAAGTTCAAGTAATTTAATTAACGTAGATATAAAAAGACTTATTAAAAATTCGATTACATTTAGATTTCTTATCTTAGCCAAAAAAAATCTTAATTTCCTATATATGATTACTAAATTACCTCTATATAACTATAAATAGAGAAAAAATAATTGGTCTCGTAGGCAAGTTAGTTATTATATATCCTTTTGATTTTCAAAGAAAGACTTTGATCCTGCAAAACAATTTTAGAAATGTAAGATTTTTTTATGTGTAAAACTTTGTTGTTAAGGATTAGCTGTCCCAACGGCAGTGCTATCCATTATACTTGGATAGATGAGGTATTAGATTCAAACCTGTCACTAAACATGTTTATGTGCACGTGTGTTTAAAGTGTATTAAATGAAAAAAATGTAGAGTGTTGTTTTTTTATAACAGGTAATAACTTAATGATGTACATTGTTGGGAGAAAAATACTTTTGGATAAGTGATTAAGGTTATCTACA